AAGAAAGAAAAATAAAGGAAAAGAATATTGTACTTGTACACCAATAAAATAGACACAATAACTAAAATAGAGGAACCATTACCAATATGATGAAATCTCATCTTCTCTTTTTCTTTTTGGATGCGATTGCATGTTCAAAAAAGAAGGGTTTGGGTGAGTGAGAGGGCATACGCATGTGGCCAGCCATGAGCTGAGCAAAACTAAAGCTGCCATTCCATGCATTTTGAGCAGTATTATAAAATTAAAATTAAAAAGTAACGTTGAGTGTGTATTCGTGGCAATTATGTTTGTTGGGCAGTGGCTAGTGGATCTAATTGACTTTGTTCGGCTTCTAAAGTTTTTGATTTAATTAATTTTTTTACTAACTTTTTAATATTTAAAAATCAATTAAATTTGAATTAATTTGAAATCGAATAACGTTGAATTTTATAAGAAAAACTCTTTTAGTATATATTTCTCTATTCATAATATTTAAAATTAAAATTTCTAGTGGATCTAATTGACTTTGTTCGGCTTCTAAAGTTTTTGATTTAATTAATTTTTTTTACTAACTTTTTAATATTTAAAAATCAATTAAATTTAAATTAATTTGAAATCGAATAACGTTGAAATTTATAAGAAAAACTTTTTTAGTATATATTTCTCTATTCACAATATTTAAAATTAAAATTTTATTTAAAAATAATTAAATTTGTTTCATTCAAATTAACAAGTAATTGGTTGATTGAAATAATTATGAGACAAAAAAAAAAGGATTTTAATCAAGAATGATGTCTTATTATTAGTCGCGTCGCGTTTCAATGTACCTATGGTGGGTGCTAAAGACGTCTAACTAAATATAATTTTTTTAATATATGTTTTAAATATAAATTAAGAGTATAATTATTACTTTTTACTATTATTATTATTTTTTGAATAAGTTGTCAAGTGATAGGTTCGAAACTCGTTCATGAGAAAAGGAGAATGCACCTCAAGTTGGCAGATTATTAATTGATCCGAAGGGTCAGGTGCTACTATTATTTATATTAAAAAATATAAAATTTGACATTATTTTCACTTATATTATTTTAA